TTTAAATTCCCCTCGTACATTCCCAATTGATCACTAAAATCAAGATCCCCAATAATCTCACTCTGTCAGCAGCCTCATTTCCTACTCTGCCTCATTAAAACCAGAAGTATCTTAGAGTTCCTCAAAATCTGTGCTATTCAACATGGTAGCTGCTAGCCACTTATGCTTAGAGGTATGGCTAGTCCAAAGTAAGATGGGCCATAAGTGTAAAATACACACTGGATTTTGAAGATGGCAAAAAAAAATGCAAAACATCTCATTAATAACATGTATATTAATTACATATTAAAAAGATAGTATTTTAAATATATTGACTTAAATGAAATATATTATTAAAATTAATTTTACCTGCTTCTTTTAACTTTTTAAAATGTAGCTACTAAAAAATTTTAAATTACATCCTTGGCTCAAATTTGAGCCTTGTGCTTATTTCTATTGGACCGTGCTGCTCTAATTGTCCTCACTGGAAACTGCTGAGTCTCTTTCCAATTTGTAACATATCCAAGAAGGCATGACTTATTTTTCTCATCTACAATTTTACAAATTCTGCCATTCTTTAAAAGAATACCTAGCAGCTCTCCAAAATGGCAGCAGGAGCAGGGATATTAAAAAAATTCAAATGAGACATATAAAAAATAACTAGCAAGGTGGTTAACTTAAATCACTTTGACAAGCTGTAACATATTGTTGCCAATTTCAAAAGAGATGCACATGTGCAGAGCTGTGCGTATGCCCAGAAATGACCTGAGAAAGCCCTAATCTCTCACATCTTGCTGACACTGAGGCTTTGATAAACCCATAAGTGAAGATAAGGCAGAGTTGTAAACTGCCTCCCAGGGAATAAAAAGCATGTCCCAAAATGCACACAGAGATCTTCAGCAAAGGCTGGGTGACTTACTGGTTCAAGGCATTTAAGGAAATATAAGACCAATCATTAGCAAACCATAAAGCTGAGCAAAGACTTCAGTGGCCACACCTAACAAAGAACACAGACTCTACAGAATTAGTTCAGGAAAGTAACTAAACAAACAAAAAGCAACAACAGCAGACAACAACAAACATGAGGGTAGGGGTACTCTGGTTTACAGAGTTCCACATTACACTATTTTAAATGTCCAGTTTTCAACGAACTAAACAAACAAAAAGCAACAACAGCAGACAACAACAAACATGAGGGTAGGGGTACTCTGATTTACAGAGTTCCACATTACACTATTTTAAATGTCCAGTTTTCAACAAAAGTTACAACATGCAAAGAAACAGGAAGAATAGCCCATACACAGGGTGAAAAAATTTTTTAAAAAGCAGTCAATAGAAACTGTCTCTGAGGAAGACCAGAAGTTAGCTTTACTAAATAAAGACTCTAAGTCTATTATAAATATGTACAAAGAAATAAAGGAAATCTTGTCTGAAGACCTACAGGAAATTATGCAATGCTATCTCATCAAATAGAATAAAGAGATAGAAATTATATTCAAAAAAGAACCAAGTAGAAATCCTAGAGTTGAAAAGTACCAAACTGAAGTAAAAAACTCACTGGAGAAATTCAACAGCAGATAATGAGCTGTCAGAAGAAAGACTAAGTAAACCTAAAAACATGTGAATTAAGATTAACCAGTCTGAACAACAGATACAAAAAATAAAGAAAAATGAACAGTCTCAGAGACCTGTGGACACCATCAAGTACAGCAAAATAAATATAATGGGAGCCCCAGATGGATGGGAGAAAAGACCAGAAAGAATACTTCAATAAATAATGTGTGAAAAATTCTTAAATTTAAAGAGAAACAATCAACACTTCGACAAGCTGTGAAAAGAACTCCAAACTACACACATTATAATCACACTCTCAAAACAAAAGAATCAAAAAAAGTAGTCTCAAAAAGAGAGACTCTGGAAAGCAGCAAGAGAGAAGGGATTCAATAGATAACAGGAATCTTCTATAATTAAGAGCTGATTTCTCATCAGAAGCATGTAGCCAGAAGAAAGTGGGATGAATTATTCAAAGTGCTAAAAGAAGAAAACATTGAAACAATTCAATATCTAGAAAAAATCTCCTTCAAAAAAAAAGTAAAATTGAACCCAGCTGCCACAAAGGGTGCCAGTGCGACAGACAGCCATCCAAAACCTCAGTAAGTGGGCTCCACTCCCAAGAACCCAACCCAGCCACTGCCAAGGGTGCCAGTGAGACAGGCAGCCATGCAGTCTGCAATACTCCCTGGCAGTGCCACAGACACCAGTGCTGAACAAGTGGGCTGTGATAGCCATGTCCACAGCAACTGCTGCCACAAGAGTGGCTTGCTGTCACACCAACAGCCAGCACTACCTCATAGGTGACCCACTAACCACTCAAAGGCATAGACAGAGAAGAGTCACCAGTGGAGCCCAGGGAAAGAGGAACGAAAAAAGAGAAAACCCATAAAGGGTTACCCATTCAAATTGAGGAGCACTCAAATTGAGAATACAAATTGAGTATTCCCCAGGGCACCCATCAGGGTCAGGGAAAGCTCAGCAAAAGTGCCAACAGGCCCACCCAAGATCACCCACCATAGCCTAAGAGTGACAAAACTCCAAGCTGCTACCCCCCAAAATCAAGAGCTTGCCTATGTCCTGATAAACCACCATAGTGTCAACAACATCAGCAAGGAAATACTAATTGCCCCAGCAACTAGACCACAGAGGACCCCTCATAGAAATCCAACTATGAAGCTGGCCAAAGTACCTACACAGAGACTACACTACTGTATCTACCTGAAAGCAAAACTAAAACACCTCATTTAACAGTCATTATATAACACATCTATAAACGGTATTCCCTCTCCCCAAACCCAACTCTAGAATAGCAGAAAAAGCAACTGATCTACCAGATAACTAGACACCAATGTAGAGACACCAGAAATATGAAAAAACAAGAAAATATGACACCACCAAAGGAAAATGATAATTCCCAAATATCAGATCCTATAGAACAGGAAGTCCTTGAAATGGCTGAAAAGGAATTTCAAGCAACAATCATAAGGAAACTCAGTGAGATATAGAAGACTCAAATGAC